TAAAAAGAGGTACTAAAAATCCAACACCCCCTCAAGTTGGAGCATAGAAATCTATCATGCCCAACTTGCTTACAATAAGAGGTACTAAAAATTCAACACCCCCTGAAGTTGGAGCATAGAAATTTGTCATGTCCAACTTGCTTACAATGAGCTCAAAATTAGGCTTGAAAAGTTCTTTGATGAAGATATTTGTTATTTATTGAGCAATACAAATAAATGACGTGTAATAGCTCCACAATCAATCTTCTCTTTTTATGAAACGTCTATCAATCTCCACGTGCTTTGTACGATCATGCTCCACAGGATTTTCTGCAATGGTTATGACTACTTTATTTTCACAATATAACTTCATCGACATGTTTATCGGGATTTCCAGCTCTTCAAGAATTCTTTTCAATCATAACTTCACATAATACACTAGAAATAACCCCATATTTTACCTCAGCGCTACTCTTTGCAGTCACACTTTATTTCTTACTTCATCATGTAACCAGGTTTCATACACATAGGTGCATTATCCATAAGTTGATATGTTGTGAAGCACAAAACTTGTCTAATTTGCACCAGTGTGCGCCTCTATGCTCTTTTGTGCTGTCTTCTGAAAGAGTATTCCTTTATCTGGTGTATGTTTTAGATATATGAGAATTTTGTTGACTGCTACAAAGTGTTTCTCATGGGTTGAACGCATAAAATGACTTACCAAATTGACAACAAAGGCCATATATGACCACTTATATAATAAGTATATCAACTTCCCCACCAATTTTTGAAATCTAACTGTATTTACCGAATCACCTTCCTTCCCATCTCTCAATTACTGATTTGGACCAATAGGAGTGTCTACAGGTCTACACTCACTCATCACAATTTCCTTGAGATGATCAAGAACATACTTCCGCTGGGAGACAACAATTCCTTTCTTTAATCAAACAATCTTCATGCCAAGAAAATATCGCAAAGATCCTAAGTCATTGGTTTTGATGGGGTATACTTCAAATGATGTCTCAAGTGCATCATTTCTTGTGGGAATAATATCATCACATACACAATCAGTATGACTATTTTTTATCATTTGAATGTCTGAAAAACATTTTATGATCTCTTTGTCCATAAGTATAACCCTAAAATTTAACAAATAGTATAAATTTTTCAAAACACTCTCGGTGACTGTTTCAACAAATATAAGAATTTTTTTAATTTACATACTTTTGTGCCAAATTTTTCACTAAATCTCATAGGTGTATCCATATACACTTCTTCCTCCAAGTCCCCATTGAGGAAGGTATTCTTTATATCCAATTATTGTAGGGGTTTGTCAAGATTAGTTGCAAGTGACAAAACAAACCTTACAAAGTTTAGTTTTATAATTAAAGCAAATGTCTCTAAATAATCATTGCATAGTTTTGAATGAATCTTTTGGCGACCAATCGAGCTTTGTACCGTTTTAAAGGTCATCAAAATTATACCTGATTGTAAAGAGTCATTTGCAAGTGACAGTTATTTTTCCTCTGGGTAGATCAACCAATTATCACTTGTCATTTCATGAAGGAGCGCACACGACCAGTGTGTGAAAGGGGAGGCTGGATCAAAGGTAAGGTAAGTAGGATTTGTATTTTTTTATTTAAATAAATGATTTTATTAAATGAATTAAATGTTATTAAGTTTTATTAATTTTTAGTGACTAATATCAATGATTAATTGAAAAAGCAATTGCAAGAAATTTGATTCAATGTTTGTGCAAAAACGTTAAACAATGCCACGAAAAGTAAGGATTTATAGTTCTATGTTTTAATTATATAAATTATTTTAATTAAAAGTGTTATTAATTTAATATTAAAATTTTATGAATTAATTTTGTGATTATAATTTGATGAGTTGTTCACTTAAAGGACAAAAGAGAATCAAACCAATAAACTGAAAAAGTTTTAATAAAGTATTTTAGGATTATTAGATATAAATTTTTTTTTTATAAATTTGAAATTGTGTTTAAATATGATTTTGGTGTAATCTACATCTGAAGTTATTTTAACTTATGCCAAGGAAAATAGGAGAAAGAACAACTAGATTTGAAAGGATCATTTCATAATTTGAAAGCGAGATGAAAACTCTTACTTTTGATCTATGATAGCATCTTCATTTTCTCCTCACGCAATTGCAATGATAGTTACCGACACCTATAATTCACTAGCTTAGTTTCTTTCTAATTTATAAACTCTTTTTCTTGTTAGTCAAATCATCATGAATTATTAACAAGAAATATTAACGCATAGTAATTTAAGGATATCTACATAGATTTGGCTTAGATGATCATATGAATGATAAGAACTATATAGCATGTTTGCATATACATGTTGACTATGATGGATTTCACCTATTTATGGTACTAGCAAAATAATACAAAAGTATCTGTTCACATAATTGAAAAAGGTAATTAATATTGATATATCTTAATTGATACAATTTTAGATGTGCTCTTATGACGGTTGTATATCTAATGATCTAGATATGAAAAAAATATAACATGATAAGAAAAATATGTTCAAATATTTTTATTGTTCATATTCATAAATATAAATTATCAAATACTCTTATACTAAATTATTAAAAATTTAACTAACATGCATATTATTTTTTTTCATTGCGTTAGTACACTTTAGAAGTATATCAAAGCACCAGTGCACATAATTGAAAAAGATTATTGATATTGATATATCTTAATATCAGATGTGCTCCTATGACGATTGTATATCAAATGATCTAGATATGAAAAATATATAACATGATAAGAAAAATATGTTAAAATATTTTTATTGTTCATATTCATAAATATAAATTATCAAATACTCTTATAATGAATTATTAAAAGTTTAACTAACAAGCACATTGTTTCTTTTCATTGCATTATTGTACTTTAGAAGTATGAGTATTTACTAATTATTATAGCTAATTTTATTTTAGAATAATCTTTGAGATTTAATCATTTGATTAGAAGATGAGAAATAAAGAATGTAATATCTATAATAGATGTAGACAACATGAACTAAGATAAATTTAATTGCAATACTTTAGTTTATCTTTTTAGTGGCTTGTTCATTTTGTTTGGATTATAAACTGCTAGTTATAGAAATTTTTTGTTATGGTTGTCTGATCATTTATTCTTATTTTGGAAACTTTCAAGCCTCGAACCAGGTCATGATAAAAGTAGTATCAAAAATAAAATTTACGATTAAATAATATAATTTTGATGAAAGAGCCAATAAAATAATTACAATAAAAATAATAATAATAAAATTGAAAGTTTAAGTTAACTCTATTTAAGTAATTATTTTAATTCAGGCAAATAGATGCACCTTAAAATATGAAAGAGTAAAACGTGGTAAGAAATGATGAAGTACTGCCTGCTATAGCTGAACACAAATATCTTGACTCGGATGAATGGTTGATTCGAGAGTCCATATTATAACCTAATAAAAAGAATATAATTATTATGGATAAGTATTTAAAAATATTTCAAATATACAACCACCATTATTTAAGGGAATCGAAGATTCGATTGAAGCAAAGAATTATCTGATTTGAATAGAGAAAACACAAGATAGCATGCCATGCACAGATGTAAGGGGAGTACCGTCAGCAAAATTTTTCTTGGATGAAGAAGCTGAAAAGTGGTGGCATTGACAACATCGGGACATGCTAGGGAACACACCTTACATGATGGTAAATTGAGTGGATTTTATGGAGCTTTTCAAAGAGTTGTTTGTACCCCGATCTGCTCAGAGACAGACAAAAGACAAATTCATCAGATTGATGCAAGAAGAAAAAGACCGTCATGCAATACGAACAAGAGTTCACTGCACTGTCAAAATACTGATGACAACTGATAATTATTAGAGAAGAGAAGTGGTATAATTTTTTCTATGTTGAAGCATTTAATCAGGCAATTATCAGTGTCTTTGAAAATTAATGATTTGTCAGTGTTAGTGGAGCAAAATAGATTAGTAAAAATTGACTTTCAACTTATTTAGAAGCATGAGGAGACACATAGGACGAAGAACATTAATTGATGAAGGAGAACATGTAGATTTATTAGAGATATTCAATGAGAAGAAGCCCACGTTCATTTCAAGTGGATTTAGTAGAGGCGTGACTCAGAGTATTATTATATTTTGTTCCAAATGCAGAAGACAACATCGGGGTGAATGTTTCATGAGCTCTAATATATGTTACTGTTGTCGTCCTCCTAGTCACATAGCTAGATACTACTATTTACTTGGCTATAAAATCTCAAAATAACATAAATTAGAAGGAGCTCCTTCTTTAAAGACTACAAGTGGGCAAATAAGGATAGTGTCTAAAACGTATACTCTTACTCAAGGTTAATTAAGGTAGCTAGTTTTACACATAGAGAGCCTGAAGACGAACCTGTTGTTGATGCTGACACTAATAGGGGCAGATGAGTATTATGTTTTATTACATATTATAGGAGTGTCATTCTAGTATATTTCTTTTTCAGAGGGTATATTTCTTTTATAGAGGGTGTGTGTTGTTATAGTTATGTTACTTTGTTTTAGATGTGATGCTATCCTTATCATGTTATCTTGTTTCAATTGATGGGAGAAGTTAGTTATCTTGTATTAGATCTTTAATTTAGTGTATTCCCTTTTCATCCTAATGAAGAAGATTGGATCTTCTCAATAAAAATTGTCTTTTATTGCTCATGTATTTCCTACAATAAGAAGAGGCTTGTGAAAGATGTATAGGATGAAATTTTATAAAGATGAGAGATTGTAATAACTGAAAATAAATAAATAAATAAAAATAAAGAAATATAAATCTACACCAGTATGAACAAACATCTCGAAGATTTCACTATTAAGAGCAATACGATTCCATTTCAAAATAGAAGCAAGAAATCGAAGAAAGGGAAATAATCGAGATACTGAGAGCGAGGAGAAAGAAGAAATGGATGAAGGAGAAGAAGGGAAGATGTCACTGCTTGCATGCATTCGAGTCTTCAATTTATTCACTGAGGACATCATGTAGTGAAAATGAACGAGCATCGTTGAAGTAATGGACATCTTTTCCAAGCCGAAAGACTTGAATTTTTCCCGGGAGAGGAAAGTCAAGCGAAGAACATGAGGGTTTCAAATCTCGCACATAAGCGAGATTGTTCTCCCGTGTCTGAGATAGAAGGGGAAGGATTGAGCCTATCCTGGAGATTCTAGTAGAAGAAAAAGAAGGAGACGGGGAAATCGAGCAACCCTAGCTCGGAGTAATTATTGCGTACGACCGATGCTGAATTATTTTCATTTTTTATTTTTAAAAAAAATTAGGTGGGGTCACCGAAATACATCGGGACCGTAGATCAGGTGATTTACATGATCGGACACCGCACCCACGCTGCGTGCGGTGTCTGATCCGTATAGAATAATTTTTCCCTTGAAAGATCACAAAAATATTACTCCCATTAGAATATTCAAAATATTCGGTTGTGTGTCACAATAATTCTCTTATTTGTAAAAATGATGTGTTATATCATGTTATTGGATTATTTTGTGATGTTATTGAAATATTTTATCGCATTATTTGATTTGTGTTTGAAGTGTTATTAGAATATTCCTCTACATTACTTGATTTGAGGTTGTATTATTCAAATAACATAGTAGAAATTGAAATAACACGGGGAATGTATCGAATAACATAGCCCGAAATCAAGTAACGCAGGGGAATATTCCAATAACACCGCAAAAATAATCGAATAACATAATATAATACTCGAATAACACATCATTTTTACAAATAACGTAGATGGAATATTCCTGTAAAACAACCGAATATTTCAATCCGGACGTAGCTCATGTTTGGAGTCCTGATGTAATATTTTTCCCATGCAACCCACGTCTCGATGGGAGCACGGACACAGAGTAAGCAGGATTTATATATATATATATATATATATATATATATGTATATATATATATATGTATTAATATTAAATTTACACTAATTAATGCTCGAATTATAATTTAAAGAGCATTTGAATTAAAGGACAAGAGAATCAAACCAATCAATGGAACATGTTTTATTAAGGCATGTTAGGGTTATTTTGATATAAATTTATTTTATAAAATTTAATTTGTGTTTAAATGCTATTTTAGAGTAAAGTTAATTTGGAATTATGGTAAACAAGGTGAAAGTGAATTGATTATTCTTACTTTTGATATATGACGATATCTTTGTTTTCTTTCCATCCAATCGCATCGAAAGTTACAGATGCCCGTAAATTCACTTGCAGGTTTCTATCTTATTTTTATGCTCTTTTCTTTATTGATCATATCATCATGAATGATTAACAATAATTATTACCACACAATAATTTAAGAGTATATACATAATTGACTGAGATGATCATATGAAAGATATAGACTATATAGTATGCTTGTATATGCATGTTTACTATGAAGGAGTTCGTCCATTTATGATACTAGTGAAAAAATTCTAAGAAACTTATGCAGATAATTGAAAAAAGATGTTAATATTGTTGTACCTTAGTTGATATAATTTTAGATGGTGCTCATGTGATGATTGTATATAAAATGATATAATTGTGAAAATAATATAATATGAAATAATAAAAAGTTTTAAAATAACATGATCGATCATATTCGTAAATATAAATTGTCAAATGCTCTTATACTGAATTATTGAAATTTTATCAAACATGTATATTATTTATTTCATTATGTTACTGTAGTTTAGAACTATGATTATTCGTTGATTGTTGTAGCTCATTTTATTTTAAATTAATCTTTTAGGCTTAATATTTTGATTAGAATATGAATAATTAGATAAAACAATATCCATAGAAGATGTGGATAACCTGAGCTAAGATAAATTTAGTTGTATTGTTATAATTTATTTTTCTAGTGGTTCTTTCATTTTATTTGAATTATAAACTGCTAGTTATATAAAATTTTAATGATCAACGTTCGTTTATCTACTCCTAATTTGAAAAATTTCAAGCCCAGACTTGGGTCATGACATTAATGTTCTCAAAAGTATGTTAAATTTCAATCAATATTAAGAATAATAAAGAACAAAAAAGTATAGAGAAACAAACTAGAGAGACCTTAGCCAATAAAAAGAATCAAGATTTTACTACAACTCAACTAGAAACAAAGATGAAATAAAAAGAAAAAGATGATCCAAGGAAATTCTAGAGCATATTTCAAGAGTTATTATTAGATGGCTGTTGGCAAAAAAATTATATGTTATGTTATGAGAATGAGGAATTCGAATGCACAAGCACTACCTTCCATCTCAGAAAATGATGAAATTCACCACATAATGAAGAAAATTCAAATATTTCACAACTCTGAGTAGAGAGATGAGCTAACAAGTGACTTTTCTAAGAACATTGTAGAGATTGTAACGTCTCTTGCAAAATTCAAGGATTCAAATCTTGATTCTTACAGAAAAAAATTTGACACGCATATGATTTTGCTTATTTTGAAACTATGTTTCATTTTACTTATATTAATGATATTTTATAAAATAGAACATTTTTTTAAATAATTTTTAAGAAGTTTATTCTTAAGCAATTTTCTTGCTTGTCACTTAAGGTGATTACTTTGCTTGCTAGAGCTTGAGATAATATTTATCACCCAACTAACCATTGCTTACAACTTTTGAAAAAATTCACATGCCCTAATAAAGATAAGGCAAGAACCATGTAAGTTGTTGAGGTATCTTATCATTAGGCCTCAGAAGAAATTGTTAGATTTGAAAGATTTAGTGTTGGCTATGACTCAAGCCGCCTCATTCAGAGAGAATGACTTTTTTTTTGTTATGCATTTAGTTTGTAGCAAATAAAATTTTGACTGAATTACTTGAACTTACTAATAGTCATTCTAATTTCCAGGAGTACAACAACAAGACCACTGCATTGACTTGAAGCCAATCATTAGTTTTCGATTTGACACAACAATTTCAATAGCTTCCATGAGAACCATAAAGTTACCAAATTTTCGAAGATCATAGACGAAGTCCTGCTTTCATCCACAATAACATTACCGTCGCTAGCGAACTCATCATTCTAAGAGTTGAGCTCAAAATCAAAGTTGAAATGATGTGAG